AATTTTTATGGTATTTTTAACTAAAATCCTAGATTTTTTATTTACCTACTTTTAAAAATACCTAGTTTAGACCCAGCTTGCATCCTAGTATTTAGTAGTAGTTAATTATTTTTAAAATCCCTGTAATAGCAACAAATATTTTAACCTATTTAAAAATTAAAAGCTAAGTTAACTTTATTTAGGCAGTAAATAAAGTATTAAGAAAATAGGTAAGCTAATAAACTCTTACTATAAAAACCCAAGTTTTTACCTTTTATAATACTGCTTTATTTATATAGATATTATATAGTTTAATTTAAGCAAGAATATAAATAAACACCCCTAAACATGTTTTTAATTTCTTTATAATATTAAAAAACAAGCTAAATAGCCTAAGGTTATTTTTTAATTTTATAATATAGTAATAATAAGATAAAAAATAAATAAAGTAAATTATAGTAATAAATTAAGGTAATAACCCTGGAGAACTTAATGCTTAATAACTACTTTATAATAATTTAAAAATGCTAAGTGGGGTGCAAATAGTAAATAAATATTACTAAAAATAATATTAATAATAATGCTAAGGGTAATATAAATAACACTAACCTAGGAGATGCTAGCTAATAAATAAAATAATATTAAGAATAATACTAATATTGCCTAGGTGTTAATAATACTAAAAATAATACTAAAAATAATACAGATAATACTAAATATACTACCTAGTAAATAATAATATAAATAATAATATAAATAATAATGCGGAGGATAAATAATAATAAAAGTTTAACTTAAATATAGTAAATAGCAGTACGCTTTACTAGTTTATAAACTTAAGTAATAATTACTAACTTGCCTGTGCTAATGCGGTAGGTCTTTAGGTATTTTATAATTTAATTTTAATATATTAGGTATGCTATGCCTACTTTTACTAGTGGTTTTTATTACTAATTATGCTTTTAATTAAAATAGTAAGTTAACCATGTAACATAATTTATTTTAGTAAGCTTTTATATACTTATTACTTATAAAAAATATTACTAACTTATTTTTTTATTTAAATACATGTACTTAATACTATCTTAATATTTAATAAATTATCCCTGCTTTATTTTTTAAACTAAACACTAGGTTATAATACTTACTATTTCTATAAGGTAAATTACTATAAATAAACTTACCTTTACTTATTAAGGTTATAAGACTACTTTACAAGGTAAGTTTATATAAATAGTAAATAGTTTTACCGCGCTAACTAACCTTTTATAATATTAGCTTATTAAGGTTATAAAATTACTTTATAAGGTAAGTTTATATAAATAGCGGATAGTTTTATTATATTAATTAATATTTTTATAACCTTAGCTACCCTGCTTGTTATAACTTTATTAATTTTTACTAATCTTTAAATATATATTATAATTAAAAAAAAAAATATTTTATAAAATATATAAGAATATCCCAAGGTACTAAAAATATACCTAAATTATATAAAAAGCTAATTTTATTAAGGCTTAGCTACTTGTGTATTTATAAATTTATTATTACTTTTATAAATCCCTTATATATTATTTAAGGACACGTAAACTTAGTACAGGGTAATATAATAATAATTTAATAATATATTAACTTATTTTTTTATTAATATCACGCGGAACGCCTTCCCTAAATACAAGCTTATATTTAAAAATAATATTTTATAGCACTTTAAACTTAATACATAATATATAATAATAAATAGTAATTTTAACTAACTACCTATAGCATAGTAATCTTAGTAAGTTTTTATTAGTAACACGGGGTTTTTTTAGTAATTATATTAATAGCTCCTAACTTGGCATTAATTTAATAAGCCAGAATTAATTTAAATAGTGGTGCACGGGCCCTTGGCATCTTGGATCTTTATTAGTATTAAATATTAGTATTAATATTAATATTAAATTAGTATTTCCACCTATATTTATATTTATTTTAATCCCGTAGTAATATTTTATAGCTTATATAATTAACCTAAATAATAAATAGCACTAAATTAAAACTATTAAATTAACTTATTAAGTGCTACCTTTATAATATATAAACTTTAGGTAACTATATATTACTAGTAGTAATTACACCATGTTAATATTAATTTATATTATATATAATATATAAAATTACCTATAATTTATATTTATAATATTTATAATATAATTTTTAAAATATATTGCAACCTTAGTAATATAAATAATCTTAGTAATAAATTTAACAGGTAGTAATAAATTAACCTAGATATAAACTTTATTTATAAATATATAACCTAGTAAATCTATATTTATTACTACTAAACTATATTTACCTAGTAATTTATAGTAATAATTATATATATTTACTATAAACATAACGTAATTACTTTGCACTATACATTTACTTTGCTAATATAACTTAAAAATTAATATATATTTTTATTTTGCTTTAATAAAGTATATATTACAAAGCGCTTTATGTAACTAGAGTTAATATGCTAGATCTAACCTGGCGCAACTATATTCCCAAACCAGCCAACGGCGGGATGGATATCTCTTGCGGACATAAAAAAAGCCAACCCATTGTATAAAGAACTGGAGCCAACAACAGCGCTTCCCAAGTCCTTCATTCCGACTATTGTGGTGAACAATCCAAATCCTAATAGTAACAGGGTCAAGCAATCGCGGGCGGCTGATAAAGTGATAGAAACAGCAAACAATAGTCATAGATGAGATACATACTGGATAAGGGTTATTAACAGACAATGCGCCTTCCGAACAGCGGTTGAGTCCGTTAACAGGCGTATCAAATGGGCTCGAGGAGACGTTGACATTGCTGCCATTGTCTAGTTGAGACCTGTAAACTCACCGCGTCGCCCTATCGATGGACGGATTAGGTCCTCCCATGAAGACACTCGGCCGCCTTCCCATGGATTAGTCCATACCAATTCCTTAGGTGGCGGGAATACCTACGCGTAGCGACACTAGGTGCTGCTAGTACCTACCTGGGTATAGTATCAAAGGTACGGAGACGTGCACCAAAAGTTTCCGCACACGCTAGTAAGATTTATGTAAATTTTAAATTTTTTTATATATAATTACTATAAAAATAACTTTTGAGTATATATAGGCTATACTAAAATTAAATATATATTTTTAAAATTAAAAAATAGCTTAAAATTAAAAAAAAAATAAAGCTATTTAAGCTCTTAATTATTATTATTTTTTAGTAAAAAAAGGTTTTAATATTTAAAACGCTTTTTTTTTAATTTTATAGCCCTTTTAATTATAAATATTCTAATTTTTACAAGCCTTTTAATACTTATTACCTTTTTTATAGTAAATAATCTTTTAAATATATTAAACTAGTTTTTTAATTTAGTATTAAATAATTTTTAAAAAAAGCTTTTTTGAAGTTTTATATTAGGTTACTTTACTAGTTTTTTTATTTTAAAATACTTTATATAAAATTATATGCTTTTTTATTTAGGCCCAAGTAAACTTAATAATATTAAAATTTAGTAAATTACCAGGCTAAATTATAATTTTTAAACCTTTATAATATTATATATATATTTTTAGATTTAGTATTAATAAGCAAGGGCCTTATCTTTAAAAATAATAGTATTTCATTAATTAATTATATATTTTTAGGTAAAAAATAATAATAAAAAGCTTTAAATTTTTTTATAAAAAATATTAATATTTGATTATAAAAGTTAGGGATAGCTATAAAAATTAATTACCTAGTATTAATATTAATTAATTTTTTTACTAGTACTTTTTTTAGCTTATTATTAGCCTTATTTTATTTTTATTAAGGCCTTTAGCCACCTTTTCTTAGGTATAAATTAAGTTATTTTAATATTATATTAACTTTTTATTTAGCCTTTAATATAGGCTTTAACTTATAATTTAATTTATTAATTTTATAAGTTACTTAATATTTTTACTAAGTTATTTTTACTTTAAAAATATATAAAGGCCGCTTTTTATTATAAATAAAATAATTTTATATTATAAAGTTAAAATAGCTTTTTTAATACCTTTAAATATAGGTTTAATTATATTTATTTCTTATTATTTTTTATACTTAAATTAAGCTAGAGCATTAGCCTAAAATAATTAAAATTTTATTAAAAAATTATATATTGTTAATTTTTAATAGTCTAGTTTTAATAAGTTATATAAAACTTTAAGTATTTAATTTTAGTAGCTTTAATTAAACTAGGTTTAAAAAAAAGCTTAATAAAAAAAGTTTATATTTATAAAAAATTTATAAAATTTATAAAATAAAAAAATAAAAAATACTAGCTTTAAATATAAAATTTTTTAAAAACTTTTTATATTTTAAGTAATTTATTATAATTAAAGTTATTATAATTTTTTAAATATTTTTATTAATTCTAACAGGCCTTTTAAAGTACTTATTATTTTTAATAAATTTAATATATATTTAAAAAAATTTAATTTTTTAGCTAATAGCCCTAGTACTTGCTTTTTTTAATAATATTATAAATAATATATATAAAAAAGTTTTAAAAGTTTAAAATTTTTTATCACATACTTACTAATAGCCTAAAAAATTAAAACTTATATTTAAACCTTATTAAAATAAAACCTGCCTTTAAGTATATTATATAAAAAATTAGTATTAAAAATTAAAAAATTATAAAGGGGGATTTAGTAATTAATTTAAGCTAAAAATTAGATTAAAATATTAAAAATTTATTAAAATAGGCTAAGTTATAATATAAAAATAATATTATAAAGTTTACTAAATTATAAAATATAAAGTTATTAAAAAATATAAAAAAGTAATTATAAAAAAGTATTAAATATTATAATTTTTATAATAATTATTATATATTTTTAAACATGTAATTCCAACCCTTGGCATTCTTGGCGTGCGGAAACTTTTGGTGCACGTCTCCGTAGTGTCTCCGCTAATCAAGCTCGCCTGCCCCTCATTCTTCCATCCTTTCTCATATCACCTCCAACATCAGCGCAAATATGGGGCAACACCTTCCCCTCGAACTTATCGCTCTAATCGCCGAGTATCGGCGAGATGATTCAAAACGGTTTCTTACACAGTATGCCTTGGTTGGGCGCACGTGGCAGGCAGCCTTCGAGCCCTTCATCTATGACCGAGTCTGGATACACAGCGAACCCTTCACGACGGGAAAAAGGGCGACCTCAATCGAGGCTCTATCATTGAATACCCCCCACGTGGTTGCTCGACGTAAAATGATTAGAGAGATTTTCTACTGCATAATCTTGCCTCTCGACCTACCCGATTACGAGAGAATTATTGTGAAAACATCAGAACAGACTTATACGCCACACAGCTTCATACGACGGGCGAACAATCAAGCCTTCACAGGGGCAATTCTCAGCCTCTTTCGCTTTTTGGCCAGCGTAGACGCGGAACAACGCGTGACAATTCGGTTCGAGACCCTGGGGCGCGACAAAGGCTATGATCCTGGCACGGTTCCCTGGGACAGACCTGGCGCTGCGAGAGGCAAATGGGCAGTCCGGCCGTACAGAGCGGAATCCAGCAATCACAATGGCCCTTTGCCTCGTGCGCCGTGTGTTGATCGCATCATTGCCGATGACCAGTGGCTCTATCGTGGCAATAGCAAGCGCATCCGGCTCGAGGCAGCCTGCTGGATTGCCCAGGCCTGTCCCGCCTTATCCCAGTTTGAATGGGAAGCAGACGATACCGCTCTGCCAGAGCATGTGGACTACGCACAACACCGACGTCAGGGTACGAGAGAATCCTGCTTCCATCGGCTGTACGACACTAATCTTTTTGCACAGCTGTTGCAGAGGCTCTTCTTCACCTTCCTACCACCCTGCAAATATTTAACCTCCGGTCTCTCACGATTGATCCGCTGCACGAGAGCTTACCAGCGCCGGTCCTGTGTTCTAAAGAGCATGATCTTCTCTCCACCAATCTTCGTCACATGAGCGTCCAGCTCCGAGAAATCGATCTTTATGAGGTGCCCCTAGCGAATGATTTCCTCTGTCCCTTGAACGACCACGGAAAGCCGCGCGGACAGCCCATTGAGTGGCCGCTTCTAGAGCAGGTCTTTATCAGCCGCCCCGACTTCCTCCCCTCTGGTGAGTGGCTCAAAGACCCGGGCCCGATCACCCAGGAATTCGAAATCGGCGATATCGAGGACCCGGGCTTTGACTACGCGGAGTTCATCGAGCGACTAGGTAGACGGGATCCGCGTACGGGTACTCATATATGGTGGGACCGCGCGGTAATCAACCGTGAACTGTACCTTTTGAATTGCATCTCCACTGGATACGCGGCGCGAGGCATGCCGCGTCTGCAGCTTATGGATATTGGATTTACCTCGGCGATGGAAGTATCCACCTATATGCAGTTTGTTAGAGAGCAAGCTGCAGGGGAGGCGACTCTTACTTGGAATGGGGATGGGTACAATAACCATAAACCCGACGAGCGCGTAGCGCATGCCTGGGGATTCGCACTAAGCAGAATGGCAAAGAACCAGGAGTCTTGGGGTAATGACCTCATTGGGGACTACATTCGCTATAGTGCAGCGGTTTCCTGGGAGAATCCTGTAGATAGTGTGATGAGGTAGCACGCTCTGACATATACCAGCATCTCCTAACCATGTCTTCCCCGCGCTTTCTCGCTATGAAATTGCCCTTCACCCCTGATTTTAAAGCTATAATTTGCCGCATCCTTCTAGTTCTATCTGAAAGCCACGAGGCGTGCGAATTTCTGGACAGAATTAACACAGCCCATGCCCTAGCTCTGTTAAGTCTTTACGAATTGGAACACCCTAACTTCCCCCGTGACTAGACAGTCCTTGGCCGTGCTATCAGGTTGGCTAGTGGTAGACACTGACCAGGTTGATCACTCGGTGTGATGGCGGACGCCCCATATCAGGACGTGAGTTTGGGACTGGCCGCACCATCACGAGATGTTATTACTCAGGAGCAACGTCGCACATGCTGGGTTCTGTAAGGGTTTGTACCCTTTGAGTGCTACAAAGCTGAAGACACAATTGGGTTAAAGATCATGTTCTCTCTACCTGATCTACCATCGCTATGTCATCTTCGTCAACAGGCCCTTATCAAAGGGTAGGCATAACATCACCCCTCACCCCCCCCCCCAAATCCGCAAACCAAGCGAACAAAGCCACAACACAGGATCGTTGGGCTGTTGGGGCAGGGTTACACCAAGTATTTCCAGCCAGGACACTGCTCACTAACCGGGAGAGGGATGATCCTCTCCCCGTGAATATGGGGGCCTAGTCTATCGGTGATATATTGGGCCTCCTCGTCCCCGGCAGATATTTCTCTCCTCTTCCTTCTGTATCTATCTACTCACCTTATTCTTCTACTCCATTAAGCAAAGGGTTTGCGCCTTACTCTTTAGCAAATATCAGCTAGCCACTCATCATGCCGTCGCAAACAATTGTCATCAACTACACCCCCGACAGTCGGCTCTCACTGTTGGACAAGGACACAAGGCAGCCCCTCTACCAGGTCAAAGTCTCCCGCCAAACCCCCCAGATGGAGATGATTTGCCTGACCGGCCACACCCACGGCCCCGGCGAGGCGGGAGGCAGGGCCTTCCCACAGACAAAGAAGCATACTTTAAGTCGCGCGTCTACACGGCGCAGTTCAAGATAACCAGTCTCGACGTGAAACTGCGCATTCGCGAGCAGCGTGACGTCGAGCCCAAGCGCATGAAGATTCTGAGCACACGTTATTCCTTTATCTCGCCGGCGCTTTCTGTTGCAGGGACGGGAGCATTGCCGACGAGCTTGACGTGGGAGTCGGATTCGGAGAACAATGCGGTGGGCAACTTCAAGTTGGTTGTTGACGCCCGGTTGGAGGCTCAGAGAAAGGTGTATATCGAGGAGGTGCTTGGGGTGGATATGGATGGGGTTACGGAGAGGTTGGTGCAGGCTGCCGGGGAGGATGGGGCTTGGTTGGGGATGGACAAGCGTGGGCTTGTGGCCAGGGATTCGGGCGATGGGTATTGTCACCACTGAGGTATCTACCTTAAGACGGTAGCATGCCATAGTAGTACCTTCAAACTGCTCTGGAGGACTGTAGCTTTTGGATGCACTGATCAGCAAAACAAGGACGGGAGATCTATCATGAAAAATAGGTACCATCATTTTGGGGGTATGTTTCTTCTCGATCCAAGATAGTGTTTAATGCAAGTTAATGATCATGAAATGGTAAATTTTACTCCTTCAATATGGTAGAGTGCAGAGAATGAAAAAGCCCAAAGCATTCCAAGTTGGACTGAGCCCTAATGTCTCGATCCGGCTCCACCATCTCGGAGAGGTCCGATGCGAGTCCATGGGTCACGGCCCAAAAATCCATGGAACCAGGTCCATGCAAACAATGCATTGTAGGGATGTTGTTTGACAAATGTCATGTCGTATATGTCCACCGGTATGTCCGTCAACGGGGTGACAAACTCGGGTCGGACATGTCCGATCGGCGCCCCACCTTCCCTAAAAAGAGCTATTTTGGTGAGCTTGTGAGCTACTAGGCCAGGCAGGGAAATTCCAGGTAGTTTTAAGCTATTTTAGGACTAGCTTTACCCACCTAGTCACGTGCGTGTTAGTACGGGCTGTCATAAAAAACATGGACATTGTCGACAGATTGACACAGTGGAGAAGATGTCGACATTTTAACATCCCTAATGCATTGTTTACATTTTGCCTTGGTTCTCGCCAAAAAGCTCTCTAGAACGCACGCTAGCAACGCATCTCGGCTGGAATCGCCTGAATCTCGCCCATAGTGGATCCCCCGATCCTAGCGGCCAGACTATGCAAAAGGCGTTTTGCCACTCTCCCATTTATAGTCGCGCTCTTTCCTCGAGATCGTGGACTGAGTCAGGCGCTCTCTTCTTTCTTTTTCTCGCTGTTTAGTACCCTCGCTTCACGATGCCTCGACTACAGTCTCTCGTTTCACTGCTCTTACTCTCACGCTCCTTCTTCCCAACAGTTTCAGCGCAAGAAACGGAGGAAATTGTGACATGCGCAACTTCGACGCCCAATCCCTTCTCTAACCCTTCTTTTGAAAACGGTATCTCTCCCTGGGGGTTTGCCTCTGGGACCACGGGCAGTGTCATCTCAGGCGATGCTGCAGACGGCTCAATGTATATGTGAGTGAATACCAACTGGTTCGGACACAGCTTGCATAATACTAATCTCGTAAATCAGCGAGACATCCGCCACCTCTACCTCGGTGACAGTGCTACTCTACCAACGAAGCAGCAGCTTTACCCAAAACGCCAAATATGCCGCCTCGTTCCAGTACCGCGTCAAGCCGGCTTCCTCGCGCGCCCCGATGACCTGCTACATCAAGGCGTACATGGACTCGTTCACCACCAGCGGTCTGTTGGGGAGTGTAAGCCTGCCCGTGTCTTCGAGTATTGTTGGCTGGGATACGCTGTCGTTTGAGTATACGCCTACCACCGCCGGGACGCACACGTTCGAGATCTATGGGTACTGTACTGGAACTACTGGATACTCGGGGGCGGCGATTGACCTTGATAATGTGCTGTTCGTTGGACCGCCGGTTACAGAGTGTTCCACGCAGACGGTTACGCATACTCAGACTCCGACTCCGACGCCGATTCTCACGACGACAGAGACCACCCCGGTTGGATTGACTACTTCCTTGGAGGTCACTTCTGCATCGTCCATTTCGTCGGCAATCGTTTCCTCTCAGACTTCATCTGCGGTGACTCCTGTTGTCCCCAGCAGCAGTAGCACTTCCTCTCAGGTGACTCCGGATGTGCCTTCGCCCAGCATTGTTCCCTCATCCAGCGTTGTTCCTTCATCAAGCATTGCTCCCTCGTCCGTCATCGTTTCATCGTCCACGAGCACCACATCATCACGCGCCCAAATCCCGACCAGTCCTTCGTCTGCGCCCGGCAGCTCCTTGACCCGGCATTCTTCTTCTCCTGTCTCTCATTCCTCTACAGCAGCCGTCTCGCCTTCTTCAAGCAAGGCAGTGACTGCATCTGGATCTTCTACCATCGTTTCTCCAGGGTCACCATCTTCTTCTACCATTTCTGTGCATTCCCCTTCTACCCCTATCGTGAGGACTTCTACAGCAACGCCACTTGCCTCTTCTAGCGGCATCATTTCTTCTTCTCATATCATTCAGTCACCTTCTAGCACTGCAGCTGTCTCCACACTCTCTCATACTTCAAGCTCAACAACATCCCAAGCCCAATCTCAGCCACCTGCTACTCCTGCGACAACACCACTACCGGTACCTGGGCCCGGAACTGAACCAAGCATCACTGGCACAGCTACCGACGTCGACGCCGTGACCCTAACCCTAACCACATCAACAATCCTCAGCACCCGCACCGCAACAATCACCGCCTGTCCATCGAGTATCCCCAACTGCCCGGCTTCAGCAGAGAGTACCTTCGTCACGACCGAGACGGTGGTGGTTTCGACGACAATCTGCCCAGTCTCGGCCACTACCACTGCCACTGCCACTGCCACCATGACCTCTCTTCCTGGTTCGCATTCACAGCAACCACCTGCAGGTGCGCAGGACGAAAGCACCACCTCCACTGTCTTCAGCACCCGCACTGCAACCATCACCGCGTGCCCCTCGAGCATCCTGGACTGCCCCGCTTCGGCAAAGAGCACGTTCCTTACGACGGAGACGGTGCTCGTCTCGACGACTGTTTGCCTGGTTTCTGCGACTGCTACTTCCACTCCCGTTATGATTGCCCACGAGAGCAGCGGTGTTTCTTCGGTAACTGTCCTCCCAGTGCTGTCCGGATCTAGCGAAGCTTCTGCCTCTTACTCTTACTCTTCGTCCTCGATTGGAACAGGTAGTGGTGGACATGAGCATGGAAATGGACGCCCTGGCGAGGCTGGAAACGTGGGCCAGGGATCGGACTCAAGCCCTGGTGCCCCTACAGCTGGTGCCTCTAACCAGGACTCAAGCTCAGTTTCAGGCTCGGCCACTACTTCTGGAACTGGCTCTGGATCTGATGAAAGCTCCGTTGCGGGAGATGTCAGTCTCACCAGCGGTTCTGGCTCTATTCCTGTCTCAGGCGCTGCTTCTAGCTCTGCATCTGCATCTGCATCTGAATCAAACGATACCAGTACCGATGCCTCCGTCCCACCCCCGCCGTCTTCCAACCCCAATCCCAATCCCGCACCCGAGTCTGGAAACGGCATAATAACAGAAAGTGAATACACCGCACAGGATAAAGGCCCAGTCCCATCCACTCACCCGGACGGGGGCGCCAAAGGCGGAGCTGGAGCTGGAGCCGGATCTAGCTCGACCGGATTCCAGAAAGTCTATACTAGCAGCAGCAGCAGCAGCACTCCGGCACCGGCAGTTCCGTCCGCATCCCAGACTCCCACTGCAGGTGCAGGTACAGGCGCAGACGCCGGCGCCACGGCGGCGTCAACGTCGACAACGTCCGCGTCCAGTGTACCGAGCGCTGTCTTCACCGGTGCTGCACCGCGCGTCAAGGGTGGGCAGGTCGCTGGCGTTGGCTCCCTTGCTAGCAGCTTGCTGGCGATGCTTGTTATGCTGGGCTAGTTTCGCTTTACGCCCGGCTACGAGATCATCATGGTCTGCCATATTATCTGTGACTGTGAGCTGATTGCTTAGCGCATACGGAGTACGGTGGGGAAACTACGCGGGTAACTACCCTAGCCCTGGGTTGTTGACCCTGACCGTGACTGTGACGCATGTCGGGTGTCATGCACTATCTACTACCTACAAAGGCAGTGGTTCTGGTTCTGTTTATTTTGTCAAATATGTAATGTATATTCATAATCTAGCCTGTCGTATTGATTGTCTGAGAATTATTCGGGAGGAAGTACAGTATGATATTGGACGTGCGTAAGGAAACCTTACGCAGATCCTAAATATAACTTTTGTATTAGCTTATTCTCTTGTATTTGTTACTTAAATTCCCATGAGTAATCCCTAGATCAAATTGGTATATGATTAGATTCACAATTAAGTGTATAAATACGGATAATTAAGGTATGATTTCGCTGACCTGTTTTTATAACACAACCTCAGACGCCTAGATATGTGATTTTAATGTACGCAAGCTTCCTAAGCGAGACGCTTAATTTTATTTTTAATACCAAGAAGCTTTACATGTTCTGCAAAGGCCGACTCTGCCCCGGTGTCTTGCAGAAAACCAACAAGATATTCACCTAGAAGAGCAATCCTGGAATAGCCTCTGACACTCTGTTAGGAAATCACCTACATTAAAAGCGCATGCCATTTTTGGACCAAGGTTAAGTTATCTTTCGCTTGGGATAGCTTTTAAGCCTAGCCTTTTTCAGATGATCTCGAGGGCAAGGTACTAATAAGAGCGCTCACCTCGTATCTAATTACTTGCCACATATCTAGCATATCAGATGGATCCTTCTTTTTATAAACAAGAGGCATTCACGAAAGGATGGTGAACTCTTATCTTTTGCCGTTTTTGAGATGCCAAGGACATAGAGGATCTCGACATTGCTAATGGAATATAAGATCCCAACAATTCCGGGCCAGCTTGCGACCGCTAAGATGGGAGAAGAACCCTCTATCGGTCTCCAAGGAGCTATACACTGCAAGGCTTGGTAGACGATGGACAAGAATCTGGGCCTGACCGAGCTTCTTCGGATGCGGGAAATGAGCCCATGTATGGCGCCGAGGATTTTGATGATAGGTGGACACTACTGTATTGGGCGTCTTATAATGGCTCAATTAAAGTGCAGAGGCTGCTCCTGCTGAAGGGGGCAGACCCCAAACACCTGGACGCCATCATGATGGAGGAGAACCTGACCTTGCTACCAACGAGTCCTTTTGAGGGGCGATGATTTTTAGTTTTGTAGATTGAGGTTGCGATGACTCTGATGTGAAATTCATTGCCAGAAAGATGGATTGAACAAAGAAGGGATGGATGTTCAGAGGTTTGGGGATGGAAGCAGGATCTCCATGTACCGTGGTAGGTGGACAATGAGATCAATGGGAAGTTACGAGTTTACAATGTTATGGAATAATGTACCAAGGGGATGAGCCATGAGAGCAAAGAGAACAATTGAATGATGGAAAATCCAACAACTTAACCAACACAAATCACCGCTGCTGGATCCTTAAAACAGCATACACGGGTAAATCAAAAGACAGCAAACACATCCTAGCACTATTAAGCATGTATATCATTCACCCGTGACAAATAAACAGCATCATCCCCATACCCCCTCAACTTCTTTCTAAGATTCTCCCCAACCTCCTCAATCGCAAACCCAAACCTCGCCCAAAACCCCTCCGTACCATAAACCGCCACCAGACAAGTCCCCCTCAATCCCTTCGCGACAGCAAGATCCAAAAGCCGCCTGATTGCCGTCGCCGCAAGCCCGCCCCCCCGATACTCCGGCAAGATCGCAACATCGTGGATATAATACCGGTCTGCGTCGGGTGGGATCTCGCCTAGCAAGGAATCCAGTGCCGGAGGTTGCTGGTTCCTGATCGGATGCGAGATCGCGTAGCCGCAGAGCTGGTCTTGGTTGTTGACGAGGGCCAGGCAGCCCTCGGGGAAAAGCGTTGCGCGCTCGGCGAAGACCTCGGCGCTTTCTGGGAGGCCGGGGTGGACGACGTCTGCTACGCGCATGAGGCTGGGGATGTCGGCGGCGGTTAGGTTGCGCCAGGTTGCGGTTGGGGTGGCCATTGCTTGGCTGTGGTTTTCTGTTGCGGCGGCTGGAGATGTAGATGGATAGAAAAGTACAGTGGGAATTGGTGGATCGGATGATGAAAGTGCCAAAAGCTATGGTACTATAGCGTCTCCACTATTGCTTATAGCAAGAGCAAGAGATGTAAGCAGATGCTTGTGAAAGGCAGATAGATGAAGCAAAGAGAAAACATCAAAAGCGGGGAAGCTGCTGATAAGAAAAGTGTCACCTCCACTCAGCCTCCATATCATTTCTAGACGAGCACAGTGCACCACGCAGTCATCACCAATTTACACTATAAAGGTAACTGTAAAGCAAAGTCGGCGTTGGAGGTCACAAGCTGAAAGCTATTCGTGTTTCTCTATTCAGATTATTTATTATGGGACCATACCTACTGATTCTTACATTTAGGTATAGCCTTGCTTTAAGAGTTTCATCTTTCATTCCCGTTTGGATTACTAGAACTGGGCTTTGGATAGTTTGATGCCCCGCTGCTTGGTTGGAACTGCTTATTCCGCAGTAACTGACGCCACGGCGGTTGGTGGTTCGACCAGGAGTCTTCCAGGTCAGCCTCGCGGCCGCAGTCTCGGGGACAACAACCAGCATTCATTGTCATTAACATGACCAGGGGATGTGACGTGGTAGGAAAATGCAGCTATAAAAAGCCAATAAATTTCCGAAAAACCCCACTTTATTAAGTGAGTGGGCGCCTGGGACTTTTGTAAATACATCTTGCATCTTCTAGGCTCAGGTGCCGTAACCGCCGTGCACCCAAGCAAAAGACCAGGAAGATACCACAGCTCACCCTATTCTTCGGCTCTTTTGATTTCTCTAGCCTTCCACCACAAGGTAAACCAACATGGCACCTGATGCTTCCGAAACCACCGCAAGGACAAAGAGGTGCCTCCAGTCAATCAAAAGCCACGACGGACCTCCAGCCAGAGTCATCTTCATCTTCGGCAAAGAAGGCGTCGGGAAATCATCACTGACAGAGAAAATCACCCAAGTGCCAGGCCTCGCTGGCCCTGGAGCAGGTACGACCCAATCCCGTCTTTCCAGTACCTACCCTAGCCTTCTAACAACAATCTAACCCCCTGCCATCTGCCAGGCACGGAAACATGCCAGATAGTCGACACAGAAATCAACAGCACCAAGTACTTCATCGTCGACACCCCCGGACTCCACGACAAAGCCAGCCAGCGGCATATCTCCCACAACATCGCCGAGACATTCGCGCAGATCCGCGGCCACGCAGTCATCGCCGGGATCCTCTTCGTCACGCCGATCAACACGTTCACGCGCCGGCCCGATGAGCTCGAGCAGAGGCTCTATGCATGGCTTACCACGCTATGCGGCGAGTCCTTCTTCCCGCACTTGACCTTCGTCACGACCTTCTGGGAGGGCCGGGTAAAGGCGTACAACGAGCGGCTGCAGGCGCGGAAGCGTGCGGAGTGGGCTGGGTTTCTGCTCCGCGGAGCGCGCACGTACCAGTTCGGAAAGAAACACGTCTATGGAATGGAGATGGAGGAGTTGCTGCGCTGGGATGTCGACGCGGAAGCGTTGGGTAGCCATGCCAGGGAGATGGTGGTCCGTCACTGCCGGAACGACGGGGGCGGGGAGTCTGCAGTCGAGCCTTTGTTTTTGCAGGAGCTGAATGCGGGCGTCAGACTCGATGCCACATCTGCGGCTCGGGTTTTCCGTCCAGAGCTTCTCACCCGATCATGCACGTCTCAGGGTTCTTCGGCTTCTGGTGATGCAGAACCTGCGGAACAGCAGGAGGCTGGAACAAGCGGTTCTACTGGGGCCTCTAGTGCAACGCCAACGCAGCCTGCAGAGGGGTCGTTTGTGTGGAATTTGTGCTGCGCAGTGGGACGAGGCCTAGGAGATGCACTTGTGACTCATGGTCCCGGTCTTGTCCAGAGTGTGGTTGAAAGACAGCTTGGTGGTGGCGGTGGCGGTGGTTTTGTCTTGCGAAGGAATGGCGGGCTTGGGGCGATGACAGCGCAGGGTCTAGACATGAACCTCGTCCGTGGACACAGCCAAGTTCATGGGACTGTCGTCGGACTTTGAGAGCAGGAAGGGGTATTATACTGAGTTTGGAGGGCCTGGTATCTTTACTGGGAGTGCTGGACAGAATGAATGGCTGCGAAAGCAACTCTGGCGTAGGGCTAGGGACTGATCAACGTACTATACTGTTGTGAAGCTTCATGTGGGTATGGATTCTTATCATTTGATCTACATTCTCTTTAGCGTGGATTTGTATACTTTGCTGAATTTTATATCAACTCTGAATTACTCAAGGAAGGATGTGCTATCACGATGTACCTATTACCTAGGTAAGTTCTCGTCGTATCCCTTCTGGATAGGGTACAATCGCCACCTCACAATGATATTAGCATTATCAAAGTCCAGGGACTATTACCGTACTGGCGCAGGCAGTGAAGCACAGATAGATATATCAACTAATCATCCGCCGGTCCACCAGGAAAATCAACAACCCCCCCATGCACCCTCCTCCCCCACTCCTTCGCCCCCTCCTCCAACGCCTCCGTAAACGCCCTATCATACTTCATCCCATCCTCCGCAAACCCCAGCCTCGCCGTCCTCCAAACAGCCCACTCACGCAGCATAACCCCCTCCGGCGCGCGCAGAATCCCCGTCGCAACATCAACAATCCCGCCCCGCTTGCCGTAAAAGCAAAGCACCGTCGCGCCGCAGGTCCCGCAGAATGTCCGGATGACGGACCCCGGCGTCGAGTCGTACCGCTTCATGCTTCCGATGGACAGGCTTTCCGGGAGGGGAGGCGTGATGTGGTCGATTGGCACGAAGAGCCAGGTGCTCACGTGTGCGCCTGTAAGGAGACGGCAGTCATCGCAGACATCGAGTAGGGCTAGCCATTTGGTTTTATCGGACGGGTGGATCCATCCCTTGCTGTTTGCGGGGGAGTTGATGAAGGATTCGCGCGGGCGGGAGATGGTGAAGGAGACGCCGCCGCAGTTGCATTGCGCGAGGAGGGTGTCGTCCTTCCTGGCGGCACCAGCATTAGGAGTATCAGGAAACTCCGTCCCCCTGTCCTCCGGATTCCAAATCCTCACTTCCCTCTTACCGATTGCGGGCAGGAGCTCCGCGATCCCCCCATCACCCGTCGAGCCTTTCTCAGTGTAGATATGCTCATCGATTACCCAGAGCGCCCCTCCCTCCCCATCATCATTCCCACCCTCAACAATCGAGACAACCGCATCCCAGATCCCGTGTACATTCGTCCCGCCAACCTGGCACCCGCACGTGCTGCAGAAGTATAGCGTCGCTCCGCTGTTTGGCGGGGAGTATGCGGTTAAGCTATCCCAGCTGGAGGGAGCGATAAAAGACGGTTTTATTCCTTCAGGCACTGCGGCGTGGTAGGAGGCGGTCGTGCCGTGGGTTGTGCGGCAGAGCGTGCAGTGGCATAGGTGGGCGCGGAGTGGGAGGGAGGAGGTCGGGACGGTCAGGGTGAAGTGGGCGGAGCGGCAGTGGCAGTGGAAGGTTAGTGCTTTTGTGGACATTTCGAGTAAGAATGGAACAATGAAATCGGTACAGTGGAGGGGAGGATGGGGACCTTGAGGATGAGGGAGGGGCAGCTGGAGTGCGGGGAGCTCTTCTTATCTACCTCACCTGCACCTGCAGTCTTGGAAGGCGGGGTAAATGCCAGGCTAGCCCTAAGAGGTAGGGGCATTGTCATACCTACATATGTACTGATCGGGAGCTATCGAAAATAACTAGTTACGCGATTTATGCAACGCCATGATAGCCTCAATCCCCGCTTCGCTCGAAAATACAACTACCAGAGGGTGCTCTGCGAGGATCTTAGGAGAGTTATAAGGACTGGTTCAAATATCTAAAAGGAGTTTCAGGTGAGCATGGTATTTAGGACAAATACATATTCAATCTTAATAAGACAGGACGTACTATAGGTCTTATTACAGTTACCAAGGCATTTACACAGTTTAATATGCCAGGGAGGCCTTATTTTATTCAACCATGACAGCAAGAATAGGTTACCACAATCAGGTACATTAGCTCCATGGGATTCAGCGTTCTAACATGCACTATTTTTAAAGAAAAGGTCTATATGCAAGCATGGTTTGAAGAAGCTGATTGACCACGCGATTACAGGATCGAAGTGGTGCAAAAGATATGGTAGACAACTAACCACATAGGCCTCAAGTAGCTTGCAAATTACCCGATTCCTGCTACACCTGCGCCGGCTAAAGGGATATCTTGATTACTAGTCCTTCCATTTCACCATGGAAGCCATCTTGAGTATATGTACGCCTGAATTCAGTAGGATGTGCAATGTCACTAGGTACTTACCCGTAGTCCTCAGGACCGATCAATCTGACGTTTATAGTCTGTGCGACTAACCAGGTGTTCAAAATTCGCGATGTCCAGATCTGAAAGGCGCTCGGTTTCGGAGGCGCAGATGTCGGCCGGGGCCGACTATTGTCGAAGCCAGGAGCTCATATTAGGTCAAGAGGCCATTTGAGTTGGTGGGTGGCCTCGCCCCTCAGTGAAGGATGGGGCCAACTCACCAAATCAATAACATTTGCACTGCGAGGGACAATACCAGTAGTGTCTCCCTGAACACTATATACCCCGACTCGCCGGCTCGCCGGCGTGAGACTTAGGGTTAAGCGGATGGAAAGCCCTGATTTCCACCGTGTGATCAGCGGGAGTAAGTAAGAGTACGCTTCCTAGTTAAGAGTTCTAAGCCACTTGAGCTCCGCACTCCCTTGAGTCCTGACTCCTGAGAGATCCAACGCGCCTCATTCTCTCTTTTCTACACAGCCAAGGGAAACCGGACGTGACATCCATGGATACCTAGCCAGGGCTGGAGGCAAGTTTGCCCTACGCCAAATGCCATGTCACGTGATAGGCGACGCAACACACCCCGGCCCCTGCTTCCTTCCTTTTGCATCCCGTCAACACCGAACGATGCCATATGCAGTCACCCGTCTCACGCAATGAGTTTCCTAAGAGCAGCCTTCACCCGGATTCTCTCTGGAGTCTCAAAGCGCTATACAGCACCACCCGCGCCAGCATCGCTAGGACGTGTTACTCCTCCCCAGCCACATCGACAGCCAGTCCTCGAAGAATTAGATCACTACGGACCCGGCGGCTTCCACCGTGTGCGCCTGGGCGATACATTCCATGATGGCCAGTACACCATCCTACGAAAGCTCGGGTACGGACAGTACTCCACCGTTTGGCTTGCGAGAGATTCCATGTAGGTCGCAAATTGCAAGCGAAATCGCCATAGCTAACACACCGATAGACGTCAGAAATACATCGCGCTCAAAGTCCTCCGGGCAGACTGCTACGGTGGGAAACATGATATATTCGAGAAGGAAATCCTCGAGCGGATCTCGGAGGTCTCAAAGCAACGACATCATCAAGGCGCCAAACACGTCTCCCACCTCCTCGACGACTTCATGCATTCCGGGCCGAATGGCGAGCATGTTTGTCTGGTCTTCGATGTCCTAGGGCACCATCTAGGCTTCCAGACAATCCAGTACGAAGACGGAAGATTACCTGTCAAGGCTGCCAAAGTGATAATACGCCAGATTCCTCGGGCTTGACTTCCTGCACAGAGACTGTGGCATCATTCATACCGGTAATGCGGATCCTACGTGTTGGCTATGTTTATGATACTAAAAGTTCTATCAGACTTGAAGCCAACGAATATACTTCTTGAACTTGATGATCCTAGTGCTATTCCCAAATACCTATCTGAAGTTCCTGCGCGGACCGACTCGCAAAGTGACGATGTTCCACGGCCTCTTCGAGAGGTACTTCCTACATCGCTCGTCTCGGAAACAAAGCATCTCCACGTCAGACTAATCGATTTTGGTGTCGGTATGTATTTCGACTGCTCGCACTGTTCTCTCACATGGCTTACGGCGTTAATAGGATCCTGGAGGGAACGCCACTTATCAGAGTTCATCCAGTCACAGGCACTGAGGGCCCCTGAAGTGACGATCGGTGTGCCCTGGGATACAGGTGTGGATATCTGGAGTCTTGGGTGTCTCGTAAGTCCTGTACCCTTGGAAAATATTTTTTCTCGACTAATGCCGTGCAGGTTATCGAGCTGGTCCAAGGCATAATTCTCTTCTCGGGACAGGCATCAACGAAGGGGACATGGACGGCCGACGACGACAGGCTCGCAAGGATCATCGAGGTCTTCGGCCCATTTCCACCTCATTTCCTAGAAAAGGGACAACACACGGGGCAGTTCTTTGACGATAAAGGTAAGTCCCACTCAGACACCTCACCCTGTTTTGCTTTACCTAAATCGGCGTTTGTGCGTCCAGGTAATCTCCTCCGAATCCCGTACCTAAAGCCAACGACCCTCGAGCGCCTGGTTAACGGCAAAACAATGCCATTCCTGAAGCCCATTGATATGCCCGACGCAGAAGTCCCAATCTACATCGATTTTCTCAAGGGCATGCTCGAGATTGACCCTGAGAAGAGGAAGTCTGCGGCTGAGCTGCTGGAGCACGAGTGGATTCGTTCTGTTGAGCTCAGCGCAACAAAAACGGACTGAATCCAGTCTAGATAATTAGAGAATCAGAACCTGATTTCTGTAGATTAGCTTTTACTCTAGAAATGGAAAGATGCATCCAAGGTGCAGTATATGCTCCTGTCGATGTATTTGAAGATTCCCTTGGTACATGCCATACACTCACCACATGCACCGAAGGTTCCACATTTTACCAAAAACATGATATTAGCTTACCAGGCCACATCCATACTATGCCCATATGATCCCCCTGCTTCCGCTATCAGGTGTCATATCCTCCAATAACTCGTCAATCCAGGTCGAGTACAAGCAAGAGGAATCTTCCATAAGCCTGGACCATCTCTGCGCCGCGCTTCCAAGGGCCGAATATTGCCCACGTAATGCTTGTGGCAGAGAATAGACCTCTGAGAAAGGCAAGTTCGTTACCCTTGGGAAAATACCAGACAGTGCAAGCCAGATGCCCGGCATCTGGAGTTCTATCTCCACCAGATAGATCTTGTGGCCTTGCTTCACGTTGTTTCGTAGTGCGGGGGTATCAGGTAGGTTTTGTTCGCGGATAAATTCGGTCATCATTGACCTGCTGGTCGGATTGTGATAACGCTGGACAAGATATCGGACAGCGAGAGCGCGAATGAACCAGGTAGTTGGGTCCGAGGCAGGGCCTTTGGACTTCAATAGTGCCATCCGTGGGTCTTTGTCTTTGTCTGGCGCTGCACTGGGCCTGTGATAAGCGCAGAGAATTAATCCAGTTGGGTCGTCAAGGTCGTTTACGAATTTGTCAATCAGAGGGAGATCGGTCAACGCACGACTCAAGAATGAATCCAGGGTCTCTGCGCGACTCCTTAGGCCGCCTCCGGTTATTCTGTCTTGTGGTGTGAAAGGGACAGCGTCTTTAGCTATTTGCAGCTCGGGTTCCAGTCCCATGCCTTCTAGTGACGGGCGCCGTGAAAGAAGCCTCGTGGCTCCATAGGCCTCTGCAATAAATTGTGGACAGTATATGTCAATATACAACCCGAGGACCCGCTCAGAGACGCCCATCCACATCAAAGAACCACTCGCACATGTCCGTTGTTCCTCAATCCAGAGTCCGCCATGTGTAATAAGGACCTGATCAGCACGTATCCGTACTTCCGTGGCACGTATTCCACTATAGCTCAGCTCGCTTAGCGTACTAAGGTGTTGAGAGCCCGGGTAAACTTTGAATAAGCCGGTTTCTGGTCCGATGCCGCCGCGAATGGGCTTCCAGATGGAAATCCCACCGCGGCAGGGATGTGCCCGTCGAGGTGTAATATCCGGATAAGCGACCACTCGGTGGTATATGACAGGTCCCTGTCGAACCGTGACACTGGTAGAACCAAAATGGGAGAGTAGGGTAATCTGCAACTGCATAGCCACAATGGATGAGACGTGGGTAACCTGCTAGACGGGGATTGTTTCGCGCTCCCTTACATTGATTCCTTGCTCCATAAACTTTAGGTACCTTTGTTTCGTTCTGCTTGGGTCATTGGCCGAGGTCAAATACGCCAGTGACGCTGGGCTGGAGTTGAAGTCCTCGATGGAAAGACCTCCATCCGGAACTGGCTGACTTGTGAGATGATAATAGCCTTGTTCATTCATTTCATCGATCAGCCGACATGTGGCAAAGAAGGACGCTGAACAAAGCACAAGAAGCTTCAGTCTTTGATCAAGCAAGTCTTGGAGACAATTGATGGCGGAATAAAGAATGGGGAGCATCAAAGATGTTGGAAGGGAAGGCGGCCAAGGGGGATTGCACCTTCCCAACACATATTTACGAACATTTGCTGGCTTAGGTAGTAGGGCTCCTGTGCCCTGACAAGGCAAAAGCGATTGGACGTTGCAGGGGTTTGCTTGATAGAGTTTGGCCATGGCAAGGCTGAGGTGCACTGTTATGAACTTATGAATGACCCCTTTCCGCCAGTGGTCCAGCCACCACCGGTAGAACAGATTCCTTCCGTGCATTGGAGACACACAAATTGATCATTTTCAATCTTGTTCCACAATCGTTCTTAGCTAGTAGTCTGTGTACCACGTTAGTATCGATTTGCAGCAGCTGTCAAGGCTGATTCTGAGACATAGGCTCATCCTTAAATTCCCTGCCGCCGGCAGCCCATGTAAACGCCGTGACAGTCGAATGAGTTTCCTCTATGGCCTCTAATCAGCCTTCATTCTTTAGAGAAATGAGACAGTGACTTGACCGGACAGAAAGTGATCTCTGAGCTACCTTGCTGACGAGAAAGGTACCTTAGGTACGGTAGCACAAGCCTCGTCTAAAATTGGAATTGGCGGCGAGGAGCGAGCAGCTACCTAACCAAGTCATCCTACCACAGAGCCGAATTTGTCATACGAACATGAGACAAGGTATATGCCCTGCAGTATTATCTAATAGGTAACTGGCGATTGCGCTTTCCCTAAAAGCCTGTACCACCCAGCTTCACCACCCCCCAGCCTCCATCTCAGCCTGGACATCTAAAAGCGCCCCCTTCAGCCTCCGCAGTCCCTCTTCTAACGCCTCCCTGCCAACTGTAAACGTAATCCGGAACCAGCCGTATTCTTCCGGTACGTATACGTGGCCCGGAGCAATGAACACTCCGTGCTCCATGCAGATTCCGCAAATCCGCAACTCCCGCTGCTTATATATGTCGGCGTCCGGGGATGTAAAGTTCAGTGAGAATGAATCTGTGTCTGAACTAAGCAAGTTCGGCCCCGAGCTCGACCGCAGGAGGTGTCGGAGGTCGATCCAGAAGAACAGTCCGGCGTTCCTAGTCGGGTATTGATTATTAGTCAATGTCTGTCTGCGAGGAGGTGGGAGGTTGACGGGCTTACATCTCATAATGGTTGATCCCATGATCGCGGAAGAAGGACGCAGCAATTGTGTAGTTTTCCTGCATTTGGTCTCGCTTCTTCGACATGAAGCTCTTCATCCACTGCTCGTCCTCCAGCATCCCGGCCCAGACGTCTTGGAGGAGATGGGGAGACCAGGAGAACATACTAGAGGAAGAGACACCCTAACGTCAGATATGAATTGACAGGAAAGTAGAGCAATGCATACCTGATGCTAGACATCGCGCGGATAATGCCCTCGTTATGCGTACACACAAAGCCGAGCCGCAATCCATTGGCGCAAAAGTCTTTGCTTGCCCCGTATAGAACATGGATCATGGATCGATCGATAGTATTATTATTGCTTAGATCAAGAGACAGAACAGACGTGAATGGCGTTGCGTCTGGCAAAGACGGGTTCTCGAATACAGAATGGGCGTAGATCTCGTCTGATATGAAATGGAGGCCGTGTGCGGCGCAAAAAGAGGCGCATTCTCTAATTGTTTCGGAAGGCTAGATGTATACGCAGCAGTCAGCTCAAAGAGGTCGCTAGATAGATCTAGGCAGGATGGGAAGTGTCGTACGTAGCATCTTCCAAGTGGGTTATGAGGGCTGAACATCGACTTCCGTTAGTTACCGTGGAAATTCGCTTGGGATGGTGCAACTTATCGAAAGATAGACTGACTTCGAGATCAGAAGAGCACGAACACAGACACCACCATCTCTTGCTCTTTCCAATGCAGCCTCCAGCGCCTTTCGATTCACATCCGGACGAAAAAGATCATCGAGCGTCTCATACCCCTCAATCCCCGAGTATGACACTGGAACGACGTGGGCATTGCTCCGGTTAAGGATGTCGAACTGGAAGCCATTGTATAAGGGCTGCGGGATCATTATTCCGTCGCCGTCATTGCATATGCACCATGCCAGTGCATCAATGCCACTTGCCAGGCCTGGCGTGATGAAGATGTTGTCCGCTGTGACGGGCTCATGGGCATGAAAGTCCCGGTTCAGGAAGTTGGCAGCAGCATTACGAAGGCGGCGGGATCCTCGTGGGTCGGTGCTGTAGGTTAGGTGTTGGAGAGGTAGGACATTTGTCTGATACATTTGCTGTTGGACGCTCCCTGCCTTGGTGCCTCAGGCATCCACGCTTACCCGTTTGGGACTAGCTGCACGTGACTCGCAGACCTTATATATAGCGCCTCCGGTAGCCACCCAATAGGAGACTCAGGCTTCACCTACAACGCTCTCTATGTCATTAGGTTATGAGCCGCTACTCTGTCCCAGCGCTTTGGTAACTATACGTCTTATCTCCTTTCTTATTGGCCGGAGCGGAAGCCTCCCAAAGCGCTGGGATACCCCGGGTTTTCAACATGCAGAATTTTCACGCCTCTTTTGATACCCCTGGCCTACGGCCAATCATCCTTCTTTGCTGTCTTTTTATAGTACCGACCGTCTGGTACTGACAGTTTGGCTACCTGCAGCTAGCCAATTAACAGTCACCCCTTATAGTCCATATCTATACCTCGCTTGCATGCTACCATTCTGATACTTGTCATAGGCTGGCTGTTGTCGGGTGCAGACCAGGGGCTTTCTCTAAGCCAATCAGATTCCTTCCAGGGGCCCGGATAGAGGGTAAATCCGGGGGTAGTCAATCCCGATGCGAACCGGCCGGGTGGTAATCCCCCCCGCATGCTACCATTCTGATACTTGTCATAGGCTGGCTGTTGTCGGGTGCAGACCAGGGGCTTCCTCTATAAGCCAATCAGATTCCTCCTATAGGCCCGGGCAGAGGGTAACCTAAGGGCATCTAGGTGAACCCGGGGGTAGTCTATCCCGATGCGGGCCGGCCGGGGCGTTGCATATGGCCGCGTGTTTTTAAGGTTGCTCCACGCGGGGTGCAGTGCTGCAGCTTTTATACTTCTTTTTATACTTCTTTTTGACTCCTCCGGCCTTGATTGGCCAAATTTCGACAATACCATTCTTCCATTGGCCACCGGGCCGCTCCTCACGCCGAATCCGAACCTTATACCCTTCCTCCGCTTGCCGAACCGCCTCCCGCGCTGGATCCAAACCGCTGGGATACTGAGACAACGAGGGGTGTATAGTTTGTTGGCCAGCCAATGGCAGCTCTATGAGGGGTGTATACCTCATATAGCCGGCCAATAGCGGACCTCCGGCTCCCCTACGCCCTTCCCCGCCCTCCGGCGTTTTTATACTTCCTCCCTCCGCGCGCCGAGCCGCTTCCCGCATACAAACCTCCGGGGTACTGAGACATCAAGGGGTATAGCTTGTCCAGCCAGCCAATGGCAGCTCTATGAGGGGTGTATACCTCATACAGTTGGCCAATGACAAGCCTCCAACGCCTCTATACTCCTGTTCCCCGCGCCGAGCCATTTCTCGCGCCGGATCCAAGACGCCGGGATAAGACACCTCCGCCGCTCCCGCGCCATGAGGGGTGTATAGCTTGTCCAGCAAGCCAATGGCAGCTCTTTAAGGGTTGTATACCTCATGGAACTGGCCAATGACAGGCTTTGGATATCTTTATACTTCCTTCTCCCCGCGCTGCCGGGCCGACGCGCCACGAGGGGTGTACTGGGGGTATAGTTTGTTGGATTGACCAATGGGAGGTTAACAAATGGTTCTTTCTTGCGTTTCCTAATTAGGAAAGACCACCGGGTTCAATTTTTCATGTATATTAGCGGTTTGCCACGTTTGCTAGTCGAGGGGTGTGTTGGACGCTCCCTGCCTTGGTGCCTCAGGCATCCACGCTTACCCGTTTGGGACTAGCTGCACGTGACTCGCAGACCTTATATATAGCGCCTCCGGTAGCCACCCAATAGGAGACTCAGGCTTCACCTACAACGCTCTCTATGTCATTATTTGCATTAGGAGTGAATATTGCAAGGCATTAATGGCGGCGGGAGTAAAACTCGCCTGCGATTTGATAGACTCGGCAATTTCCTCGTGCATGAGACTGTTCTCTGCGAGACGTAGATTGATACTGTCGACGCGGTATTATCCAGTCAGCTCTAGGAGATACTTAATTGAAGCAGATTTTGCTCACGTACGTCCCGGTTGGGTTGGAAGGGGACCAGGGGTTGCCATGGACTTCTCCCGGGGACCCCAGATGTCTGCATGAACAGCATTGTAAGCAGCTCTTTGCGACAAGCGATATTGATCGGTCATGTTTGCATTATAATCAGACGGATGGTGAATGTTGCCTCGGAAGTATTGGTGGCAAGTAGTCGAGGCTTTGTGTGTGGAGTGTGGAGTCAGCCAAGTCACCTCGGCTTCTTATCGAGGCTCGAGCAACCTTAAGAGCAGGGCTCGTTGCCCTCCCCACCTTTAATCGTGGTATACCATTATGGAAGGCCCAAGCGAAGCTATCAGGCCTTCCTCTCAGCATATATCGCTGTTGCGGAAGTGGCTTATCGTCTTGATAGTCTGCACCGGTAGTGTCTGCGTGTAAGTCAGTCAGCCTCCACCACCCAGGCATGCTACTAACCGGGTACGTACCCAAGAACATGCGCGAGCTCCATCTACACCACGACCTACGACCAGATAACCGCCGAGTTTGACACACCTCCACTGCTTGCAACAGGCGGACTGTCCACCTTCGTTCTTGGCATCGGGTTAGGGCCCTTACTAACAGGCCCTCTGAGTGAACACTACGGCCGAAGACCTATCTACCTGATTTCCTGGTCACTATTTATCATATGGACGATCCCATCAGCTGTTGGAACAAATATACAAACTCTCATTATTGCTCGGTTTTTCCAGGGGTTCGCAGGCGGCACGTTCCTCTCTGTAGCAGGGGGCACAGTGAGCGACATCTTTGCAAAGGATGAAATCCAGAAACCGATGGCTGTTGTCTCGTTGGCACCATTCGTAGGTCCTAGTCTAGGACCTGTGCTTGGAGGCTTCGTTAACTATTATGCGCCGTGGAGGTGGACATGGTATTTTGTGATTATCTGGGGGGCGGTGCTGCTGGGGTTTATTGTGATTCTAGCGCCGGAGACGAGAGTGAACATCAGAGAGCGAGGTGCACCTGAGTCTGAAAGCTCTCAGAAAGGAATAAGAGTCACCGCCAGAGCACTATCGGTATCCCTTCTCAGGCCGTTCCAGATGCTGTTCATGGAGCCCATGTGCCTCTGTCTAGACCTTTATTCAGCCATTCTCCTCGGTATTCTGTACCTCTTTTTCGGCGCATTTCCTCTCGTCTTCAAAACGACTCACGGAATGAACCTTTGGCAAGTAGGGTTGACGTTCCTCGGAATCATTTTTGGAATGTTGATAGCAGCTGCGAGCAATCCATTATGGAACAACATTCGCACACGTCTGGTCGTGAGAAGAGACCAAGTGGGGTCTGGAACGAGTGAACCGGAGTACCGGTTGCCTCCAGCCATCCTCGGTAGTCTCTTGATCCCGTTTGGCCTATTTTGGTTCGGCTGGACGATGTATCCGTCTGTGCATTGGATGGTGCCGGTAGTGGGATCTGCAGTGTTCGGGTGTGGGTGAGTTCAGAAATTCCAGTTGAAATGACTGAGCTGAAATTTGGACTTCACATGAAGAGTACTTTTGGTATTCACTGGGGTTTTTACGTTTTTCGTGCGTTGCTGTACCTGTAAAGCCCGCATGTTTTGATATAGGCTTGCTGACTTGCCCTAGGTTGATGCGTATCCAAGGTATGCTGCGTCAGCACTGGCGGCAAATGGATTTGTCAGATGCACATCGGCGGGTATGTCTATCAACGAAGTCTGATAAAGCTAATCGTTGTTGATGGTGTGATAGCCGCATTTCCACTGTTCGGGAACCAAATGTACGAGAAACTCGGACATCAGTGGGCCACGAGCGTCCTGGCATTTCTGACCGTGGCGATGATGCCGTTTCCCTGGCTCTTTTTTGGGTATGGGAAACTGCTCAGGAAGAGGAGTAGCTTTGCAGTCGATACTTGATTAGGCTTTGCGGGAAGTTGTGTTGCCATTGGGACGCTACCGGTCTGAAATAGCCCTGCTGTTTTCGACCGAATCCTCGACGGACAGAGGAAGCAAGGGCTCGAAGCTATTATACAGCAACAGGTCCGGGTCGAATGTGTTGTCCAGATAGCCAGCTAGAAACGAATCATACATGAGCTGATCTGGCATTTGTGAGAGTTGATCGTGTGCATTATCACTGTTGAAGTATGTTGGCTGTACGCTCAGTTCAGCTACACCCAAGACATCAGTTGATGACCTGGCGTGTGAACTGATCCGAGGTAAGCCTGGTGCCGCTAAGTCTCTTTGATTCTTTGCGATGCTCGACGAGACGTTGACTATTGACCCCCCTCGCCCAGTCAGACGTCTCATTAAATTAACAAATGCCTTCGCAAACCAGATTCGGACGGGCCAGTGGTTAGACAGCTCGCTTAGTGCGAGCAAGCATTGTCGTGATTTATTTTCAGCTAGCTTTTGGCGGATGGAATTCTTTCTGCAGATGACAATTGTATGCACCGACAGAGCGCCGAATAGAGCGGGCACACTGATTGAATTGCGTCAGCTTACTGAAGGTCGGCTGCATTCACACAAATTGGCACAACATACAGATGGATTTGTGCAGGTCTGATAGTCTCCGTTGCTAAAAGGTCCTCTGCAAGGCGGGTAATCGAGTCAGCAGCTGAACGCGCGCGAAGGTCTCTGTCAGCCTCAATCGAAGAAAGATTTTCGATGGCCTTTGGTCGAAAAAGGAGGATGTGGTAGTTGCTGGAAATATAAGCCACTGATTCTATGCCGCAAGTAGTCGATGATTGGCTTCTTACTGATAGGACATATTGAGCATTCCAGCCCAGAACGCCGCTCCTAAGGTTCCGTCCGGCGAAGCTCTCCGTAGTTGATCCGGAAGGTGATGCTCCCATTCTGCGAGTCTATTTGCCAATGTTGCTGTACGATACTTTTCCAGATCTGGGCGACGGGGGCTAAACTCCCCAACCAAGATGTCCCCAACTAGGTGGACAGGCAGTCAGCATTATAAGTCAATGCGGTCGGCATACTCACGTATATGAGCCAATGCAGACATTTCTACGGCGTATGAAATATGGAAGTCCTTTTGAGGAGAGATGAGAGTCTGGTCATAGTCATGGTCAAACTGGAAATCTTCCTCGGTAAGAGGCTCGACATCACAATCTTCATCCCGGATACGGCACGGTTGCCCAAATGCGGCCGCCGTATGTCGGTCTCGAACCTATATATTGTCAGTATAGAGGGCGTAGGTAGTGCGGTTACAGGAGTCATACATAGATCGACCACCAGATGCGCCTCCGCAGAGACCGCTCTCCTCGATTTATCCCGGGTGGTGATGAGCTAGATGGTTTCAGCAGTCGTAGTTTGTCCATATTAGCAAGAACCTACCGATGCATACCCAGTGCCTGGGCAACGTTCGTGGCACATCCAACCCAATAGCATGTATCCTTCTGATCTTCAGGTCCAAACCACCAAAAGCCAAACAGTAGCAGTGACGCAACTACTTTCAAAGAATCTTCTTCATAGTCAGCATCATACAACGTCTTTGCACGTAGATAATGCGTTTTCCTCGCCTCGGTGCGATTGCTATACCCTGACGCGTCGATGAGGCTGTCGGGACCGACAGTGAAGCCCATAAAAAATATGGTATGCAGAACTAGCGGAGACGCCTTGCCACGAAGGTACAATTCTGTGAAGCTTTTCCGATCATATACTGGGTATGCCGGATGAACATGGTCGAAGAAGGCGCGGATCAGCTCGTCTGCTACGTGCCGGGCAGGCATGAAGGACGGATCGGACAGTTGGGCCGGCTGTCCAGCAGCGGGACCTGAAATAAAGGCTGGCCTATCTGCAAGGGCGACTGGGATCGGATAATTCACTTTCAGTCGCTCCGCTGAACCAGCGCCGCCAGTGTAGTCCATCTCGATCGTGTACGTGAGACCTGAAGAGCCATCCAGATGACCTAGATGGGAACCGGATTGTGCTTGAAAGGGCTCGTTCTGCGGGGTAGACTGAGCCTCAACTGTCCCAGCTGAGAATACATTGTGGCCTTCATTCTGCTGGCGCTGGGATGCACCAAGCCTCTCACCTGGGAGCTGTGTATTGAGAGCCGTCGTGCTCCTACTATTATCCAACGAAAGCGAGCGGAGTTCCGGAGTCGCTACAGCTGGGGATTCGGTCGCAGGGTCTTGACGACGACTCGAGGCTTTCTTTCTGCGGATGTACCTGGCATAGTCAGCCATTTGATAGTCGCGGTTGGACCTGTTCAAAATGACGTACTTCCCCCTCCTCGATTCGATCAATTCGCAAGGCGAATCCCGAATCCGACAGTGCCAACACGGCTGGCCGCTCGCAGCGTCACACTTGACTCGCCGAGCGTTGCAGGCCTTGCAAGCAATCCGGGCTCGACTTAGTGGAGGTGTGGAATCGTGTGGCTGCGAATCGGGCATTTTCCCAGCAGCTCGTGTGCTAGTCAAGGAGGGCAAAGGAAACCTTGGAAGTGTGATCATAAAGCCAAGGTGAGTGGAGTGGAGAAGTTGAGTCGCCGAGGTGAACTGACCTCGGGACTAAGACGCGCCTTCCTTCCTGGAGACAACACACCACCATCTGTCAACAGTCTAAAGGCAATTATCCCTCTCCGTCCGAGTCTAATTCTCACTGCGAAATGCCTTCTGGCGCCGCAATCTGTCTCCAACAGATAGTGACTACCCTTCAGCTCTCCCAGCCGGTGTGATCAATGGCCTGGTCACCGTTGGTCTCCCAACGATCACCGAGGATCTAAAGCTCCGAGCCTCGCTATCACTCTGGTCCTCGTCCGTAGGTAGTCTCGCTACTGCCTCAACACTTGATCTCGCATCATCGGTCTCTCTTCTTGGACAACTTTAACCTCGCCTTCTCGTGTCTGGGTCTTAGCCTGCCCTTGGGCTTTTCTCTTGGGCTGGTGCTTGGAGGAGTTATCATTGATACTGTTGGCTAGCGAATGGGCTGGTATAAGTGCGATGGAATGACCCTTTTCGTTTCTATCATGGTATTCTGGCCCTTGCCGAAGACCCCGGGGCGGACGATCCTTGCGCAGACTTGAGTATTTCGAAAAGCTTGTCCTTCTTCACGTCATTGTTCGCGGGCTGCCTCTTGTTGTAGATGCCTTCGACAAGAAGCTTGACAACGCCATTTTTTCCCAAAAAATGGCTGAGAACCCACTACTCCGCGAAGAGTGAGTATTCTTGCAAAATATGTGCAGCTCGTGCTAAACGCCCTCTCTCACTGTCATAGGAGAAGATGCCAGGGACCTTGCGACTGCGGATCATAGTTGATTGGGTTGGGGCCCGTCTAGGTTCTGTCTTCATGGCGCCGCTCTGTTACCATGGAGCTCTTCGCCACCTTGTTGTTAGTCACAGTCCCACACATACTTGCCATTCGTCTTATTTAAGCTAACCCAGCCCTAGCTTCCAGGAAATTCAATCCCTTTCCGCCCTGCAAGCGTCCATCCGCATCCTGCCTAGTCTCATTGCCGCCGTATTGATGAATGTATTCGTCGGGCTTTTCGTGCACCGAATCGCTATTCTGTATCGTCACTACAGCGTCCGTTGTCTGCGCCGTCTCGCCCCTCGACACCATATTGGGTTAATGCCTCCATTGCCCAAGTGCTGCGGCTCGTTAGCTTCGGAGCGCTCTACAAATTGGACTAATCGTCATCGCCGATAGCTTTGCGAAAGACGCAGGCATTAACTGGCGCGGTGCTCAATGCGGCCTCGCAGTGCGGTAATGCGCTGCGTTCTCCTTTCGGATGCGTCGGACGATGGAGAACAGAAAGCGCTGATGGATGGATACCGCGCTAGCTTCTGGGCCATGTTTAAGTCTATGATTCTTTGTACGGGCTTGGAGCTCTGGCGCCGTCGTCGGACCCATTCTCCTTCCATATCATTTCTGTCAACTTCACAAATATAGGGCAGCAACCCTAAGTCTTCTGCATGCACGCATATGTCCAATACCAACAGTCTATCAGGTGGTTTCTGACCGGCTCCATCCATACCAAACCCGGCACCTCCGCCTGATAATCGAAAAATCTGGCTTCATCGTAGCGGTAGTGCCTATCGCCCAGCACCATCTCATCTTATGCCTGCCTCGCTTCATGACGGCATTGACGCAGCAACATACCTTCTTTAGCCGATGCTTGAGAATTGCTTAGGCTACAGGTCGAATACCGGGCCACCAGCAGGGAATCCGCAGGCGGGTACTGCGCCATCCAAGCGGCCATCGCTGTCGGCGACCGAGGGACCCCTGGACAACAGGGATTATTGTGCTAATCCCCGTCTACGAACTGTACGATACAGGGCTTATTAAAGATTGCGAACATGTTTGCATGTGCTTGACCAATCAATTCAAGCTCACATGAACCGATAGATCACTTACATGTTGTGGGGGACTATATAAGGTAGAAGCCAAAATCATACCTCATTCCATGCCTGGAAAGCCGCCAACCACGTTCAACTTCCAGATATCACCTATAATACCGACTATTATGAAATAAGCAGCCCACAAGCAGGGAAGCACGAAGTACGTGGTCTGACAACATACAGTAACCACGTGGTCTAGGCCAGCGGCTAGTATAAAACTCCTAATAACCCCCAGCCAAGCTTCCTGCATCATCTTCCCCGCCTTAACATCAAATGTCTCTGGACACCCTACCCTCAGAGGTCCTTAACCTCATCATCTATCACCTGAGAAACATCTCGCCACCTAAGTCAGATAAACAACCACGCAACCAAGACCTCTCGCGCTATGCAGCGATTTCAAGAAACTGGAAGGCTGCTGTTGAGCAATACACATTTACCGCAGTGAAGACAAGCAGCAGTGACCTCGCGCATTTCAAGAAAATAATAAATCCTCGCAGGAGGAAGTTCGTGCAAACACTCTTTTACCAGATAGATCTCCCCGTCTACAGTGAGAGTCGAAGCCGCTGCTTTGAGCGACGACCGGAACACGAAGCAAACCTAGTTACTTTCAGAGCTGGCATCAGAGAGCTCTGGAAAGAGCTAGCGCTCTGGAGTGATGGCGACAACCCATCAGCTGGGTTACGCCTGGTTCTTACCGCCGATGCACCGGTCAATTACCCGGGAGGACTTGGAGACGCCCGCTGGGCGTACCCGGAGCATAGCCTCACGCTGAATGACTCTGATAATGCAAGTGGGAATACTGCGCTTCCAGATATCCCCCGGATCGCTTCTTTTCACGTTGCAAATACCGGTCGACGCATCCATCCATCTGCCATCGGTACCATTCTAGCCAGTCTGCCAAACATACGGGACTTGGAGCTCAAAATCTACCCAATCCAGCCCAAGCACCAGGCTCTCGTTACAGAACATATTACCGCCCTAGCGCATGCCCTGGAGTCCCCAACATTAGGCAGATTAGAGAGGCTGCGCATCTGGCTGGGCCAGCACGCCCCGCGCGACCACAACCATCCATCTGACACAGCTGTGTCTCGAGACCCATCGTATCCCGACGGCGATGTTCTGAACAAAGTTGTGTCCAAGCTCGCGCAGCAGAGTCTAAGGGAACTCTACCTGGACGAGGCGTGGATGATCTCGCCTGCTCTCTTCATGGCGACCGATACAGAGAACAGCGACGACCTGACATTCCCCTATCTGAAAACCGTGGCCATCAGCTTTCCACTCATCACGTACGATGGCCGGTGGCTGTATACCGGTGACCCTGACGATATACCCCGGGCCCCGTTGGAAGGAACTCCCCCACGCCCACCCAAACCAGAACTAGAGCCAGAAGCAGAACCGGACTCGGATTCCAACTCAGAGCCCGGAGATGGTATAGATATAGATGACTATAACGGGAGCATCCTAAATGGCGACGAACCGGGTCACCCATGGAGAATCATCCCGGATTCAGAGACGTTCGACCCTATAGTTCGCTCGCTGGCTGCGGCAGTGCTGGAGATGCCGAGCCTTGAGCACCTCAAGGTGGAAACGACGCCGACTGCTGCGGATCTCGAGTATTATGAGATTGCTTTTGAGTTCCTCCGTCCGGGACTCGTGGCGGATACGGTCCCAATTCAAGATCAGACTAACGCGCACTGCGGGAAATGGCGATGGATCGTGTCGCTTGGGATCGAGGCGTCCTGGCTATTACCGGAGGATATCAGGGAGCTGATGGAGCGCCGGGTAGGTGCAGATGGGGAGGTTCTCTTGTATAAGATGTGATTGGATAAAGGTGGAACATTCTTCTCCAGGAGATAATCAAATATATGGTTCCCTAATGACCAACGCTGGATACCTTCTGCGTGATACTAGCAGAGTCAGCCCCGGAATAGCATAGCTGCTGGTGGAAAACAGCCCAGATGCGGGCATTCCCCAGGGTGTCTAAGGGCTGAATATCCCTTGTCAATGCGAGATTCAATGCTAGCCTGTCTTTACTTCGAGTAGCCTAAGTTAACAGTGCAGGTGGCTCGCAATTGAGTCCGGTTAAGGAACACCTGCAGCCCTGTGCAGCCCTGTGAATAGCATAGTGAGACAGCCATAGAAGTGCAGGTCCAGCCTATGGCCGAGCCAAGAGAGAAGACCGGTCCTAATGTCAAGCAAATGCATCTGGCTGACAATGGGAAGCCAGCTCGTAGCACCTGGTAGGATGATTAGTTGCCTCTGAAATAGGGCCCTTTATCTCAAGCTCGCTCCTCTCTCAGAACTCCGCTTCTCAATCTTCCGCGCAGCTCAGTCTTTCCTCAACCTTTATTGCCACGCCTCGTTTCTCACAACCTTCCTTATTACCATACCTAATCATGGATGGGCCGCTCACTTGGCGTGACACCTACCTACGGTGGGATCAATGGTTCTTCCGCCTGTCCTTAACCCCCTGCTCCCTTCCTCGATCATTGCATCTCGCGCATTAATTATGAAAACCTCTTAAAGCAGTACCTGGCCCTGCAATGGGAGCCGGCTCCCAGCCACTCAAAATTCGGTAGACTTGACGGTAAGCTTGTGTTTTCTCATAGCCTGTAGCTGCTAATTGCTCTTCCGCAAAGCGCCAGTCTCAACCGGCCACACCTAAGGTTTTGGTTGAGAATGCTCAAAATAATTCATCTCTCGATGATCCTTATCTCAATCTCCCAGTGATTGGGACTGGCATGACCGGGACTATCTATGATCTTGGGAATGGCCGTGTTGTCAAGAAAGCTAAACAGTCCCATCTCCGAGATCCCGGCGATGCAGAGTACATGAACGAGATCAATCGCAAAACTCTCGAGAACGAGGCTCAGATCTTCCAACGCCTTGACGGTGGTCAAGGCACTATTCCTTGCTTCCAGGTATCACCGCACGGGATCGAGCTGGCCCGTGCCGAAGATGATCTCGAGTCGTACCTCGAAACTCATCCGGAGCGTGAGGATAGCTTCAAAATCAGATGGATGCTAAGTCTGATTGAGGCACTCGCGTATACTCACTCCTGCAAGGTGTTCGTGGACGACCTCGCGCTCCGCAATATCCTCGTCCTGGAGGGACAGCTCAAAGTTGCAGATTTCGGGCAGTCTATCCTTTTACCACTTGATGCTGACATTGCTTCTGCATGCGAGGACGATCCAATGTTCGCATTGAGATCCTCCATCTTGGCTGGCTGCTCTACTCGATTACTTCGTGGCGGGTCCACAAATACTATTTCTTTGGTGCGGAGAACCCTGGCCTTGTCTGGCCCGCTTTGTTCCCAGACGTTAGTGATGTTCTTTGGGGCGAGATTATTGCGAAATGCTGGCGTGGCGAGTATGCGAGCATGGTTGAGCTAGAGCGCGAGGCGCACGAACTGTTTAATGGTCACTGAAACTGAATGACCGGGGGTGGCTTTTCAGTAGTCGCACGCTTTGGGTTAAAGATGGCTGTAAATACAGTCTTTGACTTTTCCCGGGGACCTTGTCAACCTGGATAAGATAAATGCCCTCCCGGCCGCCGTAAGTAATTGCAAACAGAAGCATCAGAAGCCTCGGCAGGATTTCAAAGAGACCGAGCCCGTAGCATGATGCACTGATTTTGGGATCATGTTTGATTCAATCTCGTCTTCTGACTGGGACGAACATAATGAGGTGTTCGTTACTGGTTACTGTCAAGAGATTTCGACACAAGCAATGTCCTGATGTCGTGATATATATAATGAGCGGGGTGGGTACCATGTGGTTGATACCTCATCCAGCTTGCGTTTTCTAGTTCCAGCGATCTGAGATGCTAATCCTCTTGGTCGTTTGAAGCTGCATTCTAGCAGAAGTTTGCGCATGCATGCTTAGTAGCGTAAGGTCTTGTAAATGGGTCTTGCGGACGCAATTACTCGTTGGATTGTATCCGAATGAGACGAACGTAGGCGGACTTTCCAAATTTCCGCCGGATGTCTTTCCAAAGCAGGATATCGTGTCACATAGATAGCCACTGAGAGATTCCTTCAGCGCAATGAGGGCAACCGTTCACGTGTCTACATTGCGGCTCTTGGTGTGATATGCGGGAAGCAGGCCTAGTTGTCAGCCAAAGGTGGAGATCTCTCATTTTGGTGGAGTTCTTATTTGTTAACGCCTCCACATGCCGCGTTAGTATAGAAAAGTAAGGCACTTAATGCCTTACTATTTTAGTAAAGAAATTAGGCTATTAATAAGTTTTTAAAGGCTTAAATTATTTATATAAACCCCTAGGTAGCTTTAGCTTTTAATAAATAACTTATTTTTTTTTTATTTTTTTTATAATATTTAATTAATAGCTTTACTAATTAATATAATATATAAAGGGCCTAATAATTATAAGCCTGGATATTAACTTAATAGTCTAGCTTATTAAATTTTTACCTTTTTTAAATATTTTAAAGTTATTTATATTTTTAAGTACACGCCCTAAAGTTATACCAAGCCTTTTTATAATTAATTACCTTTTTTATTAAACTAAAATAAATATTAATTAATTTTTAACTTTTATACTTAATTTAAAAGTTATTATAAGCTTTATTAATAATATTATAAGTATAAAAGTTATTCTTAAGTCCAGGAATAACTAGCTAGCTTAGTATAATTAAATTTTTTACTTTATTTAAATAGCAAGAGTTTAAAAGTTTTTTAACTTAAATATTCCTAAAAAAAAAAAAAAAATCCCTTTCTTTTTTAAGTTGCCTTCTAAAAATATAACTAAAAAGGCTTTTAAAATATATAATAAATACTAGCTTAATGCTAAGTATTATTATACTAAAATTTAAAAAATAAATAAAGCTATTTAAAAAATTATTATTATTTTTATTTAATAACTTATTAAGAATAAACTTACTATAAAGGTTCTAGCTAAATTAAAGTAATAATTTACTTTAATTAATTTTAAGACTAAACTAAAGGTATCTAGCAACTATTTTATAGCCTTAAATACTTTAATTTAATAAAATAAAATTAATAATTAGCTTTAAAACTATAAAAATATTTATAAAAAGATTAAATGCCTTAATTAACCTAAATTAAAAAATAAAATAGCTAATATAACCTTTTTATAAATAATTAGTAAGTATTTAAACTTTTATATAAAATAAAATACTAACTAATTAAATTAAAAAGGTGTTAATTTAATGTTGGAGGTAGCTAGCCGGGAGTCGGAGGATGAGTCATCCGGGTCAGGTGACCCCGCGCCGCCGCCCACTATAGTTAGTGGCCGCGTTGTTCTTAGTTTCTTAGTACTCTTTTAATACTATTAAAGTTCTTTACTTATTAAGTTATATAGCCTGGTTAGCCACCATTTTATTATTTTTTATTAATTTTTTAATATGTATAAAAATCTTTAAGCAAGTTTTATTTTTTATTTTAGTTTAATTTATTTTTCTTATAATTTAAGGCTGTATTCACGCGCTAAAGTTACACTTTTAAATTTTATTAATTAGATTTAAGTTTTACTAACCATTATTTTTATTTATTAGCTATATTATTATTTTAATATGTTTACCCCTTTAAAAAATAAAGTTATTAATACTTTTTATTATTATTTTTACCTTTATAATTAATAAAGGTACTACTAGCCCTTGGCCTAAGGTAACTACTTAAGCGCCTTAAGCACTAGTAATATATTATTAAGGGATATTTTATAATAAGATTATTTTATTTTTTACTTAGCTTAATATTTAAAAAGTTATATAATATTTAAAAAATAAAAAAAATTATAAATAGTGGAGCTACACTGTTAGTTATTTTTTAATAATATTAAAAATTAATATTATTATTAATAAAATGCTTCCCCGCCCTAGGAAGGAAAATAGCAATATTTATAAATAATAAAAGGTAGCTTTTTTATATATTACCTACTAGCTATTTACTTAGGTATTTAATAAAATTAATAAGTAAATTTATAATATCCCTAAAACCCTAAAGTTTACTAATAATTTATATAATACTATTATAAAAATAGTAAATAATTAAGATATAATTTAAGCTTAAATGGCTAGTATGCGTATGTTTAATATAAAATATAATAATTATGCTAATATAATTAATTATATTAATATATTTTAATAAGTAAATAAGGTTTGTACCCGCTTAAGTATTAAAACAAGCATGTTTTATTTATTTTTTATTTTTTTTACTAATCTTTATAATAATTTCCTAAACTAGGTAAATAATTACTAGTATATATTTACTAATAAGTTACTTAAGGGCTATTATTAAACTAATTTCTTAAAGCTTTATAATAATACTATTACTTATATAACTATGGTATTAAAAGTTAGCACTATAGTACTTAAAGGTAAACCCTTGCTTAATCCTAATAAAAATAATAATAAAAATAATAAAAAACTAACTATAAAAAAGTTAAATAAAAATAAGAAAAAGTTTTTTAAGCGCAAGGGCCCCGGCCTGGGATAGTTAAAAAAAGCATATTTAAATAAATTTATTAAGTATAAAAAGTAGTATATAAATAATAAATATTACATGTACTATTATTTTATTAGTTATAAATTAGGTAGGTATTTTTATTTAGTACTATTTATTTATACCAAAGAATAAAAGCTATTATTATATATCTAGTATTATAAGCCGCTAAAAAAAGCATTAGTATTTAAGAATGCGGGTTAAAACGCTACTTTATAAGTAGCTAATAATTATAACTATAGCTTTATATTTTATATAACTATTAAAGCTTTAATATTAATTAATTAAAGCTAGATTTTTAATTTTAGTGCGGCCTGCTATTTTATAGGTAATTACTTATTATTTTTTACACTTTATAAGTACAGGCTATATAATAAAGCCTATATTTATAAAATTACTAGTGCAGGTAATATTATTATTTATAGTGTTAAAAATGCTTGCATTTACCTATACTAAGTTAATAAAAGCTTTATTAAGTATTTCTTTAAAGTGTACTTTAATCTAAACCTAGATTTTAACCTTTTATTAATAACCTAAGTATAAAAAAAAATAGGGATCTAGTAAAGTTCCAAGGACCTTTTTATTTATAATATAAAAATAAATATTATTACTAAATTAATGTATATTAAATATAAAGTTCCTATTATTAATATAGTTTTTTTAAATATATTTATAAATAAAATATCTGCTAAAGTACTAGTATTTAATAAAAATAAGTTAAAAATTATTACTAAAGCTATTCGCGAGAATATTATGCAAATATATTATTATTTAAACTATTATAAAGTTCCTAAACTACACGGTGTAACTAATAAAAAGAATATTTTAAAATTTATTTATAATATTTATTATATAGCAAATATTAAGCGTAAAGTTTCACAAGAAAAATAATAATAAAATAACTTAAATTATAATAATTTTACATTAATTTAGTATATAAATTTTTAAATAATTCTTTTAGTAGGCTTTAGCAAGTTTAAATACTACAGTTATAGTAAATAGCATAACTACTTTTACTATACAAGTACTACTTAAAAATAAACTTAAGGTTTTTACTATAATAATTAATTTTAATAAAAAATTAAAAACTTTAACCAGTTATTATTTATATTAATAGTAAATTAACAGGGGATTGGAGTTTTTTTGCTTTTTAAATTAAGCTAAAATTAAAGGTATTTAAAGCAAGGTAACGCCTTCGCGTATACCTAAGTTAAATAATAAAGTTAAATATTTAAAAAAATATTTTAATAATATTGCCCGCGCGATAATAATTAATAATAGTTTACTAAAATATTTATAGCTATTTACTATAAATAATATAACTTGCCTGGTAAACTATTTTCCTTACCTAGAACATGTAAATCTTAAACTACCTATATAAATTTAGCAGGAGTATTAGTGTATTAAAAATTCTAAGCCTTTAATAAATATATTTAAGGTTTTTAGTTACCATGCCTGGGTTTATATTTTTAAAAAAATTATATTTAATTAAAAAAAATAATGCCTCGGGCGCGAGTAAAATACTAAATAAAATATAAAAAAAATTATAGTTATATTTAACATGTTTATATATTATTAAAGCGTAAGCTTTATAAATCTTAAGATATTACTATTAATAAAAGCTATATATATAAAAATAATTATACTAATAAACGCCTAACCACCGCAGATTTTATTAAAAAACCTATAAATAAAAATCTAGGTATTACTATTATAGTTATTAATAAGGTAATACTAAAAACTATTTAAATTATTAACCACAAGGCGCTTATAATATATTACTTTAAGTATATAGCTGCCCGCAAGAAGGTAAAGGCTATTAAGGTGGTTTATTAATATATTACTTAATAAAAAAAAATATTAATTTATAAAGTTTTAGAGCTAGAAATGCCTTTAAATATACTTAAAAAATT